AGTGAAATCTGAATATTTTTAAACAAAGTACATGGACTTTCATACCATGTGGAAGTATGTTTCATTCACATATGATAGTTTCATGGCATTGTAGTGTAGGTGCAGCTATGTGTAGCTACATGATTAATTTCAAAAATATAGCTATTATGCAGCTTATTATAACAGAAAATATATATTATAGTAATATATAGTAAATATATTAAAATATATTAAATATATATTATAATAATTTATTTATTTATTTATTATAAAATGGAATATATATATTTATAGCATAAAACATGTATTATAATAATATATATTTAAAATATAGCTATGATGCAGCTATTATAAAATAAAACATAATATCTAAAAATATATAGATATATGTATTATAAAATAGATTTATTACAAAATATAATATATTTTATATAAAATAAAATAATATACATTGTAATAATATATAAAATATATATTTAAAATATATAAAGATATATTTTAATAATATATGTTTATATATTTATCAAAATATACATAATAATATTAATATGTATTTTAAAATATAGCTATGATGCTATAGCTATTTGGGTTCCAGGGCTCTGCAGGGGCTGGGTGAGCAGTTTGGGTTCAGTTTGGGTTTTGGGGTCCTGCAGGAGCTCTCTGGTCATTGTGTGGCATCATCTGGGGACAGGGACAGTCAGCCCAGCCCTCAGACAGAGGCTGGGGAAGCTCCTGCATTGCCTGTCTGCTCCAAAAATTTGATTTAATGGAGGAAGCCCAGCAGGGACTAATTAGTGAGTGCACACAATTAGTGCAACCCCGCTTTTTTTCACGCTCTGGTGGCTGAGGCTCACACTGCACTGGAATCCTCTCACCTTGCTCTGCGCTGCCATTTCCCCTTCCTGCTCCCCTCTGAGTGCATTTGAGCCAGGTTTGCAGTCTGGGGCCCTGTGGGGCTGCCAGTGTTCTGTGGGGTTTGTGCTCTGCAGTGGTTTGCAGTGCCAGGTAAATGATTTCAGCAGGGATATGACAATTAAATGATTTCAGCAGAGAGGACAGAGCAGCCGTAATGAGCAGAGCTGTAATTCCACCTCTGTGAGAGCAGAAGTTGCCACAGCCCCAAACTGAACCATCCTCCACTCAGGCATGACGTTGGGGAGGAACATGGAACTGGTTTTGCTTTCTTTTCTGTTTTTGCAGCTTTCCATCCACACCCAGCTCTGCTTGGGTTCATTGCACTCAGGGTCCCTCCTGGACACCCCACGACCCTGCAGGGGCAGCTCCAGGGTCAGGGATCAGGAACAGGATCAGGGATCAGGAA